GGTAAAATCATTGTATTAGTTATTGTACACTGATTTTACTGTGTGCCGACTCCTCCGAGGCTTGAGTCTGTACCCCATGACAGGTATGCAGTTGTTTTGAGTCGTCAAAGTCGTCTTTTATGGGAAGGGGGGCGGGAGGGAGGGTACAGGGAATCAGCATTTCAACTTATGATACTTATTTACTCATATCTTGCTTTTTACAAACCGTGCCATATTTTAATGGCGGTCCTTGATCAAATTGTGTGTTGACCGTGATCTCTATTTTCCCTACTATCAGTATTTACTATTTACAATACCCAGTGTTGCTCATTCTTCTCTTATTGACATATATTTATGTAATTCAGCCTTCTTGCAGAAGCAGACGTTCAGAAATAAGCTCTTGAAAAATTATACATTGCCAAAAACTTTCCTATGCAGAGAACTGTTTTGTAAGTCCCTGACGCAGTTCAGAGTTTTTGAAGTTTTTGACAGCACTACTGTTTTATGTACTGTCATCTTCATCAAGACGTGAAAGAAGAATTCCTCATGTCGTCTTAGAGAAGCACAATGTAGTTTCTGAAGAAATAATTTGGATGTTTACATCCATCAGAGTTGTGATCTACATAATTGTTTTCAATAAGTGCCAAAATGATATACTTTACTTTTTTCCTATTTTCATAGCAAACATATCAGTCAAGCTGTCCCTTTTCATAATAATTGTTTTAAGTGACATTGGCATAACACCTGTTGACTACATGTACAATAGGCAGTATGCAATAGAAAATCAAATTAGAAGTAGTTTATGCCTCAGGTTAAATGTACAAACAAGATAGAGACATTTCGTTCCACAAATACTGACGAAATCATTGATGTAACAAATGTTTCAGAGTTCTTACTGCATTTATGCTATTTCAGGGGAGAAGAATTCCTGAAGTGTATTTCCAGAGTATTCTTTACACAAAAAACAAAAATTATTCTGTGAATTGAAGTTGTACATCACATTGTATGTTGAAAACGAAACATTTCATTTTGCGGAGGTCATTGCAGATATTGGCATAAGTTCCATATGAACAGGTCAGTTTTAGCCATGGTACAGTGCACTAAGTAAAATTTGCATTCATTTACCGAGTTATTTGAAGAAAAAAAATATATAGCATTAATGCTTTATGAAGTTCGTTTCACAAATAAAATGAGTGCCCAACCAGACTGCTACTTTAGACCTGTAGATTTAATATGAAAACGCATTAGTTTCTGCTGGTGTAGTCAAGAGTTGGAATACCAGTCCAGTGAACTGGTACATAATTTTGCTGCTGAAACAATGAAATCTTACACGGATCTGTGATGTGGTTTTGAAAATGTTATATTATACAACAGGATAGCAATAAACCTACCCTCAGAACTCAGTCAAGAATTTTCACATCACCGATTTTAAGATAAATGATTTTAATGGGAACCTGGCCTTTTGCATCCTTTTGAGTTGTTTTATTCACAGCACATATCTTCTATATTATATATATATGTTTATGTATAAGAAAACAGGGAGAGAAAAGTGATGTGAAAATTCTGATTGTAAACAGGGATCATTTTTCAATGATGGCTAAGGCTATTTATCCAATAGGTGCCTTGATAAAACCCAAATCGATTTGGTATCCCTTTATGTTTTTTCCTTGTTTTATATAAATTTACACTAACCGTGATGTACTGGTTTGCTCAATTGTCTGTTTGGATTTGTTTTCCTAAAGTTTATGTAGGACAGTTCTAAAGTAAAGCATTGAAGTTGTCATGTTCAGGATTCTGGCCATAGAAGATTTGTTTCAATCAGTTGACGTCTTTGAAGAGTTCTGTTAAGGAAGTCATTCTCCTTGTCCATTTGGATGATATTTGACGATTGTTGACAGGTGTCAACATTTATACAAGTTCATTCTGTTCCTGTGCTGGCTCCCTAGACAAGTAACCACAGGGATAAGGTTACAGATGATTGGCTAGCACAGTTGAGTGATTCTGTTCCAAGTTTATGACACAAGTTGTTTTTGTACTTGGGTACACTGCACATTGGTCTTCAGCATTCTTGTGCTTCACACTTTGCAATATTTTATTTTGTCCATGATCTTGCATACCTTCATTCCATAGTCAAATTGACAAAACTGTACAAAAGATTTGAGTTAGATTCTGTTGCCATGGTTACACGTAGGTTATAAGAAATCCACAAGTTCAGGGCAATTGTATTCCAAAGAGTTTTCAAAGATAGTTTCGGCCGTGACTTGGAAGAGGTGTGATGTAACCATATCTGTGTATTTTCTCCCCTATGCTGAGCCCTCCCTGTCCTCGTATTGATGCCAAGTTTATCTGCTTTCTGGTCCTATATTTTGCAGTCGCCCTTTGGTCTGTCATGAACCAGTCCGCCTCCCCCCAGGACTTCTTGCACCCCCTGCCCATCTTCTCTATCCCTGTCTGTTCTGTGTCTGACCCACCAAACAATGTATAAAGTACTTAACGCATTCCCATATAGCCCAGACGTGTTAAATATATGTATATGTTGTATTTTTGTACATTAGTGCTACCAGAAATTGTTACTTGTGCTGTTGTATAGTGTCATTTAGTTTCTAGTGCGATGTGGAAAATGCAAGTACTGGTCCAGCAAGTATAGTTGGAGGTATTTGGGACCTGGGTAGCTTTTGCTAGTGGGTCTTCCGGAAGTTCATGTAACTGATGCCCTTTTGGGTGGAATGTACTTGACTGGACTGATACAGTGGTGGTTGTCGTCGTTCTTTCCAATATCTAGTGCTATGGTGTAACATGTGGAGAAGATTCATTAGTCAGGAGATGTTGTAGGATAGAAAATTTAGTTTTGAAAGGTTTTTACCCCTCAGTGCATAATTAACAAGGTATTGGTACAACCTCTTTGAGTTCCTTTTATCAAACATTTTACACAGACACCCGTCTGATTTGCCAAATTTAAAACTTTTTACTTTTCTCATGAGATTTGAAATTTAGAATGAGTTTTATTTATATTCCAGTTGCATATATTTATTTCTACAACTAATCGTTATTTAATAATGGCATCGTTTTTATTCAAATGCGAACAATACCAAATTTTATATGTCACCTAATCCCCTTTTCTAAATATCGACTTTATATTTTATTATATGCATTATATTCCTCCTGCATGTGCAGAAGCAGTTTGTGCTGTCAGGAGAACAGGGTAGAGAATGGGGGGAGGGGGCAGGGGTGGTGTGTGTTGGGGACACAGCTAATGACAGACTGTTGGCATCCAACTCAGCATTACTCTTCCAGCCCTGTCATGGGGGTCCAGTAAAGCCTCGGAGAAATTGGTGGCAATATACACAAGTATTCATATACATATATTACTATTTTTGGAGGAGTCATCTGCGATTTCTTATATGTTTATGTGAAGGAAATTGTATGCAAAGTGGAATAAAGGTGTTCTTTCATTCAATGTTGGAGTTGATGAATTAGTGATTGTTGTTCAATTTGTCAATCAGCAATGTGGACATTCGCTAATATTTTGGTGATATTTCACATACTCTTGGATCCATTCCGACTGGCCAACATGAAGGAAATGCAAGGGGCATAACTCATGATGGAGAAGCCAAAGCCATATTCAGTATTAATCGACGGGTAAACATATTTTCCCAAGGAAGAATGATGTTTTAGGTTTTCTGTCCATTCATTTTTAAGTGTAAATTTCTTGCAAAAGGGGAACTGGCTGCTATGTTACTGAACATCTTTGAGTTGGGTTTGTAACTTGCATGTATATTGGCAACTAAAAGGGCAAATTGGCACTTGCAGTTGATTTGAGATTGCAAGAATGGAAAGCTAAGAGTTTGTATAGCCCAGGAGATTGCAAAACACTTGGACCTGAAGCATCATTGGAGTGGCGATGCTGTGAAAATCCTGCAGTCAGCAATTTCAAGCTGTATTTGCCTGCAGATGTTATGTTCAAGCTTCGAGATTTGATGCATCTTCTTGTTATGCACAAAATGCTCAAGATCTCATTGAGTCCCTGTGCTGGGTTCATCTTGGGAGAACAAGCTGTTCAAGTTCATGAAGCATATCGGTGTGAAATAATTCAAAACAGTTGTGATTAAAGCGTTTATATAAACAAATAGAGTACTAGTCCAGCCATGAATAAAACATATATAACATTAAAATAACCTTCTTTCCTTAAATAGTGTCATAAATATAAATGCAGTTGTGCAAAATACACCTGTTCTGTGGATAACCTTGCTCTTATGCAATGGGGCTCACTTGACTTCCACATAAAATCCAAATTTTATCATCCGGCAACAAATAAGACTAAATTGGTGTTTGATAAAACCTCTTGTATGATGAACATAAGTTGCTATTCATATATATTTTGGGTACACTTCTTAGTTCATAGGGGGCGGTGAGGTAGCCTAATGGTTAAAGCGTTGGCTCGTCACGCCGAAGACCCGGGTTCGAATCCCCACATGGGTACAATGTGTGAAGCCCATTTCTGGTGTCCCCCGGCTGTGATGTTGCTGGAATATTGCTAAAAGCGGCTTAAAACAAAACTCGGTCAGTCAGTCAGTCTTAGTTCATATGCCAAAACTAATCATTTTCTCATCCTCATGACCGCCTCCGTGGTGTAGTGGTTAGAGCGTCCGCCCGGAGAGCGGAAGGTCGTGGGTTCGATCCCCGACCGCCTCATACCAAAAGACGCGTTAAAAAATATGGTACTTGTTGGTCCCTGCCTGGCGCTCGGCATTAATGGGTACAACAAGGACTGGTCGGCTCGGAGTCAGTATAATGTGTCTGAGGGGTATTCATGCTTCACTGCGGAATGGTATCTCAGTGGGCTAGCACTATAAAACCAGCTTCAGTCTGGGCTAGTACAAGCAGCCGCACATACACATACACACGCATGCACGTCGTCATATGAGCGAAATATTCTCAAGTACGACGTAAAACCCAATTTCACCTCATCCTCATTACCTCAAAGAATTGCTGAAATGAATTAGTTGGTTACTTTCTGAATATTTTCATGGTACAGTCATGGTGTGTCTACAGTCAGCCTCAACGGTTACAAATCATCTACATAGCTTAATACTTGCCTGAAACAGGCATCCTCGACATTTGTAGGATATCCTGAGTTGGGGCGATATGTTAAGCCATATGTGTTGTGTGACAATGAACTGATGCAGTGGTCATGGGCTAGTGTATTGCCAAATGTTCAACCCATTTCACCTGATTAACGCAAACAGTGCAGGTATGCATACATAGCAGCTTAATATATACTATTCACACTTTGATTCAACAGAAAACTATGATGTGGGGTCTAATTTGGTTTAAATATCTAAGCTTATTGTAAGTATGGATCCTAGGTTTCAGTATATCATTTCATCTTGTGGATCCCATACCTGCTATTGACAGGTGCTGTGTACTTGTAAATGACTCGTTCCCAAATGGTTGATTGGTGCCGTGAAAACCATTTTTATGGTTACTTATGTATCAAGTGCATAAGTGGTTGTTTGCCTAAAGAAGGGTTACTATAATATTATTTATCCAGTTTTAAATGGATACAATTTCAAATTTTAAATCTTTTAAGTAAAATTGGGAATTTTTGTGATCCTTACCAAATTGTGAGTAGTATAGAATGTCAATATGCATACAGAGACAAGTCAATACCTGGTCTTTCAACTCTAAATATACAATAATTGTTTTCAAAACCTATTGAGAACCAAAGAATGATGAAGTCATACAGCTGAAGCTAACAAAAAACTGGCCATCAATGCCACAAGACACTTTAAGATCCGGGTTAGAAGTTGTCTTCAGTAACCTGTGTTTGTCATGTAACAGGCCGCTGACTTGGTTAACACAGGTCATGTCCATGCGTAGACTGATGCTTATGCCGTTGATCACTGGGTTGTTTGGTCCAGGCTTAACTGCCACCATATATATGGAATATTGCTGAGTTCTGTGCTAAACAACAAACACAACAAACATGAATATGTCAACCAAGTCAGAAAGCCTGACCACCTGATACATAGTTGCCTTTTGCAATAAGCATGGTCACCATTTAAGCATATCACTTGCAAATGCCATTCAAAGACTCTAACAATTCTTTGTTAATCTGGACATAGTCATTCTGAAAGTCATCCCACAGATTTACATGGTTTCATAGTGCAATACTTCTCTCACCAAGAACGCATGTACTGCTGAAATATTTATATACCTATTTATACATCTTGGCAATAGAAGTGGTAGGTTGCACAAAAGGATAAGATGTCAAGGCATGGAACTTGGGTTGTGATATCATGGTTATGTATAGTCCAGCAATTTCAGACAATGTAGCTTCAGGAAGGGTTGTCTCCCTTTGTTGTATTGGGTGAACTGTGAGGTTGCGTCTGCTCCCTGGCTTTCTGTGATTGGAGGTTGAACAGGAACTGGCGCACTTCTGGTGACCTCAACAGTGCCTGTGTAAGGAAGCAATGTCATACCTTATTGTGTTAAGCTTTTTATGTGAGAAAAAACAGGTACATCTGAGTATTGTAATAGGGTATATGATGATGTTTGTGGCGTTGCACAAAGATTGGGCTCAGCAATTCAGTTCAATCAACATGACAACAAAGCAGTTGTAAACAACATACTACATCCCTTCAAAATAAAATAATGAATGCACCATTCTCTGGAAATGAATTTTGCTGTCAAATCTCAAATACATCCTTTATCAATAAAAATTATTTTTAACACAATTCTCAAATTAGCAAAGGGCACCATTTCATCACTCTTGTATACAAAGTTCTATGAACATTTCACAGTATTAGGTGCTCTATGTAGAAACAAATCCCAATATCAGCCCAAATATAAGTTCAAACTTAATTCCATGAAAACTGCACTGAGACAATGAATGAATATTTTAATTAATCTTGACCCCTTTTGAGAATCAAATTACATTCAGTACTGAAGGGCCAAAGAGGTATGTAGGGTCTTAAATATGAGTGAGTGAGTTTGCTTTAGAGCCTCTTTGATCAGTATTTCAGTTAAATCACAACTTGACAACCATGAGCTAGATGACCATGAACATGGAATCATGAAAAACAGGCCAGAAATACACAGTTTGAAACACACCATTTTCTTCTCCGTCAACACCGCATCAAGCATACTGGGTTGGAAGCCGACATCTGATGTGTCCGGTGTCACAGAACCTGTCATCTGTCGTCGAGTGTCGTCGGATGTGTAGGAGCTCAACATGGCTATATCTGCCACAGTGTCTCCCTGAAGACAAAAAAATATGGGAACAGGCATCAGATGATTGTGGAGAATGAAGTCAAATACCATAGTACAAAACACAAGTACTCTTGACAAGGGTTCAGTTTGTACAACTATTGCGCATCATACTGTGGTTCATTATTGAAATGTCCCTTTGGTATGTGTGTGCATCTGGCTTACCATGCTCTGAACAGTAGTAATCAGTTGTATCCCAGAATACCAGTTTAATGTGGGATGTCAGCCTGAATTGACAAACTTTTTACACCTTGTTTCCTCGAAAACCAATGAGCACAGGTATGGCGCTGACAAACCTAGAAAGTGGGATTCGAACCCAGTATCTTTTGTCTCTGAACTCCGCTGCACCTCAGAAGACTGGACCACAAAAGGTGTCATTCAGTCTCGGTATGTTATGAATTTGATTAACATCTGATGAACATTTTATTTATTCCTACGTCAAATTGATGGATGTTTTTATGATGCATGAAAAATGGTTATGATGCAATGGTTTAACGACCATTGAGAAAATATGAATGCATGAAAGTGCAAGAATGAAGGTGATTGCTGGCTGGCTGAGTATGGTTTCATAGCCATTCTTAACAATATTCCAGCATGAATACCCCACTCAGACACATTATACTGACACCAGAAGTCCTGGGCATTACCCAAGCACCAGGCAGGTACCAACAAGAACCATATTTTAACGTCTTTTGGTATGACGTGGTGTCGGGAGGACGCGCTTTAACCACTAGGCTACAACCATTTAAGATAATGGCAAGTGCAACAATGAAGGTGATTGAAGGCATGATTAAAGGTGATGGAAAAACAACACCCCTGAACCCCAAATGGAAGAGCCCATGCATGTGCTATTCATGAAAAGAAGCTGTCAGTGAGGGTGGAAAATGATTAATTCCAGATGCATGGAAGTTGAAAGTGTGATGATCTATCTGTTATCATCAGCACGAGCCCTCAATAATTATGCTGTGTATATATGCTTTTCTTATCTACAAAGAGCTACTGGACAGCTGTGTAATGTTTTTTCCATAATCATGATAATGAATTCATGCAGAGTGACTATTACCACTAATATCATTTGACTGAACATGTAACCTACCTCGCTCTCACTTCTCTCTCGGGATCTGCGACCTCCTTCAGAGATGTGGCTCCCTCTACGACGTGAAGTAGAACCTGTGTCCACACCATCCCTCTTTTCTTGATTGGATGATACACAACTGCTCCCACCATCACTGTAGGCATCCATTCGATCATCACACTGCGACTCGCGCCCAGACATACGACTCTCACACTGCGACTGACGCCCAGACATACGACTCTCACACTGTGACTGACGCCCAGACATACGACTCTCACATCGTGACTGTTGCCCAGAAAGACGTTCGTCACACTGCGACTGTCTGCCAGATATACGAACTTCACCTTGTGATTGACGCCCTGACACGTGACCTTCACGACTGTCGATATCAGTACCTGATTGTTCCCGTCGGGATCGTTTCTTTGGTGAAACAGATGATCCACTTGATGAGTTGCTGCTTGTAACAGCAACAGGATGACTGGTCACTGACTGGCCAATGACATTAGAGGATACACAGGTTGTTGCTGACTGGCCGATCACTACACACGATACTTGAGGAGGTACAGACCGTACAGCATAGTTATCAGATCCTGTGTCACTCGGCATCTCAGACTTCATGACAATGCTAGCAGGCATGGCAGACTGCACAACAACAGTATCAGTTCCTGGAACACTTGACATCACAGACCTCATGACAACAGAGTTAGTTTCTGCATCACTTGGCACCGAAGACCGTATCCCAACACCTGGCATATTACCAGATACAGGCCCATCATCAGATGCACCGAGTTGTTGGTCCATCCAGTTAACCTCACCAGATGACATGTAACAATCTGACAACAGCTGTGACCGAGATGACTGCAATAAACTCTCAAAGAACATCTGTGCTGCCTTACTCTCCTGGTGGATGTCGTCCGTCACCATAAAGGTTGGTTCCAGCGCTGAGGCTGGGATGTCCTCAAGGCCAGATTGCTCCCCTTGCATCATGGATGAGTGCTCCGGCCGCTGGTTGTCCATCAAGGTGCTGAAATATACACACAACTAGAGCAGGTGAGTGAGTTTAGATTTACGCCGCTTTTAGCAATTTTCCAGCTTTAGGGACCGGATAATTTATGGCCAGGGGGGGTGATGATGATTTTTATGGAGAAGCATGTACAATGTGAATGCGCCCCCCCCCATTTTTTTAATGCATTACAATGTAAGTGACCCCCATGCATGTCATGTACAAAATCAATGACCCCCCTCCCCACCAATATTTTTAAGCATAATTTTAAAATATATTTATGTACAAAATTGCTGACCGCCCTAGAAACGTGTACAAAATTGATGACCCCCCCTACCTCCCCAGAACAAAATGGGTGACCCCCTCTTAAAATCATCATCACCCCCGCTAGCCATAAATTATGAACGGTACCTTATAACACCAGTGGACAACAGAATTGGGCTTCACACATTGTACACTGTCTGTGGGGAATTGAACTCTGGTCTTTGGCATGATGAGTGAATGCTTTAACCACTAGGCTACCCCACTGCCCCACAGACATATAGAAAAGCATTTGCATGTCATGCATACTCAGTGACAGTCCAATCCCCAACACTTCCTCAAAGACATAATTTTCCCATTAGAAAGCAGAAACAATGAACCATTTCAACTTGACAACAGGTGACAGATTACATCACACACGGGCCAATGCAGTACAACTTTGAAACGGAAAGTCCTGTGCCTCCTGATACCTTAATCACAAAGTTATAACCACCTCTTGTTGAGTGTATTAATTTTGATAGATTGATGTCCAATGCAGTTCAACTTTGAAACAGAAAAGACTTCGCCTGTAGACCTTAATACCAAGGTTTGAAGCACTTCCAGTCCAATGACCTTCAACTTCGACAAGAATGGGTTACTGAAGATCAATTCTAACCTGGTTCTTCACAGGTTTGGGTGAGTGAGTTGGGCGTCACTTTCATAAGCCCTGCAGCAATAACAGTGAATGGGTGAATTTAGTTTTACACCGAACTCAGCAATATTCCAGCTATACGGCGGCAGTCTGTAAATAATCGAGTCTGGACCAGACAATCCTGTGATCAACAGCATGAGCATCGATCTGCGCAATTGGGAACCGATGACATGTGTCAACCAAGTCAGCGAGCCTGACCACACGATCCCGTTAGTCGCCCCTTACGACAAGCATGGGCTACTGAAGGTTCATTCTAACCCGGACCTTCACGGGTCCAGTGAGTGAGTATGGAAATTGGGCTCAATGCCACTTTAAACAGTATTCCAGTTCTATCATGGCATGTTAGCTTCCTGTTGGAGGACAGCCTAAAGTCATGCAGGTGTTAGATGTTTACAACCTTAATGAAACCATCACAGGCATGGTTCCGACAAACCTAGAAACATAGTCAAGTTTGTTTCAAATATTCCGACACGTGTCACTGCTTCATTGTTGTGAGATGTAACATTGTCTGTTATAACCCCATTCAGGGATTTACATGGAGTACTGAATTTGAGGGTCCCTGGAACTCATACTCTTAATTTTCAGGGGTCCTGGACAACAAAATGTGGGTCCCAGACACTTAAATATTATTATTAATACTGTTATTGTATTGTGTATCATGATCATCACATTGTTACAGTAATTACATTGCAAATGATACCATAACCCAGCTGATAGCAAACTCAGTGATAACTTATTGTCACTTGATTGGAATTTTTACAAAATGTATTCAGACCTTTTCTGAGTCCCTGTGGATGCGTTAATACATTTTGTTGCGTCCATTGTCAATTTTTATGTGTATAAGACGCAGGAATTCGCGTCCTGTAAATCCCTGCCCCTTCCCTTTTTCCAACGCCATGTCAAGAGACACAAAACACACAATAACAAGGAGAAAATGACTTCTTCAGACATGAAAAATTAGAAAAAATGGCATTTTCAGTTAGGTCAACAAGTATTATTCCACAAATCCAACTTTAGTCAGTTTCTTTAGAAAGTGTTTAAATTAAAATTTAACATACATTATTTTGGGAATTACACATTTTTAGTAATTAACACCTGTAAGACATTGTAATCCCAATCGATGTTTAAACGGTTTTAACAGCTTTTGAAACGGTTACATTTATCTTAGACATTAACTGTGCAATAAAACTTGCTCATATCATTTGTAGTAAGAGGCATTAGTTCCAAGAAACTCACTTACCACTAGTCCATGAATAACATCATTTATACATAAATTTGAACTCTTTCACTACCATGTTTTCTAGACCATCAACACGATCTGCACCTGATCGTCACATTAACCTTGTGATCTTCCATCCTCAACAGAAGAAGCAAACAGTGCTAAATCATCCATATCATTATTTATTTATCTGGCGTAACTGCAAAATTTATATTGAGCCATAAAGAAAACTACTTAACATAGTACCCGAACACATGTAGCCTGAGCACAATGTAGTGTTTGAATTGTTAATATCCATGCAGAAAGAGCCCTGCCTATGATTGTGGAACACAGGTCAACCGAGACTCGGTTTCTGAACCTAACAATCACAAACAGCCATACATTATTAAAGCGTAATAGCATTGCCTAAATTTGCTTTTGCCAGTCTATAATTTGTAATATCATTCTTGCGTTTATCATTCCTTCATTCTACTTAATATTGCAAACAAATTGATAAGCTTTACCTTGTGTTTGGGTAAATTTCTTCTTTGAAGAAATACAAATTTAATTATGCAAAATGCAGCATCTAGTATTAATAATCATTGATGACTTAGCAAGAATTCTTCCACCATATGACCAGAATGAAACCCGTTTCAAATGCAGATGCCATCAGAGTTGCTGTGAAATTCACCAACATGTACATGTTCCCCTGTAGTACTGTCAGTTTGAGAAGATTTTACTGTGATCAGCGCTTCAATAAACCAAGAGTTATTTCCCTTTGACCATATCATTCTAATAGGTGAAGCACTGTCCTGAAGCCAGTCACCATGCTGTGTAATGGGTCTGAGATGTGAGGTGAGGTGAAATTGGGTTTTATGTCGTGCTTGAGAATATTTCGTTCATATGACAACGTGCATGCGTGTGTATGTGTATGTGCGGCTGCTTGTACTAGCCCAGACTTAAGCTGGTTTTATAGTGCTAGCCCACTGAGATACCATGCCGCAGTGAAGCATGAATACCCCACTCAGACACATTATACTGACTCCGAGCCGACCAGTCCTTGTTGTACCCATTAATGCCAAGCGCCAGACAGGGATAAAAAAAACCCAAGTACCATATTTTAACGTCTTTTGGTATGACGCAGTCGGGGATCGAACCCGGGATCTTCTGCTCTCCGGGCGGACGCTAAAACCAATACACCACGGAGGCGCTCTATGGGTCTGAGAATGGGTAAAGGATGCCCAAACACACAGTCAACAGCCAAACTATCAGTGCACATCATAAAAGTGCCACAATACGTAACAGTTAGAAACTAAACTTAAAAGTCAAGTAGTCCTTGTGATAAGTCAATGCTAAAAGATGAAGATTAAGGTTGTCCCACAGTTCAATACAATACAGGTAAGTCACACATCACCTGCTTATCATTCTCACATTTCTCACATGGCTGATCCACCTTTACAAGTATACTGGCACATGTAACGGTGAATGATAATGAGACATCCCCTTTAAGACACGAATAAAAAAAAGTAAAGCAATATTAAAGGGATTTTTAACCTACATGTCTTAATTACTGGTTTTGTTGCATATAATCAATCCTCTTGTGGCTTTAGTCCATTGCATAAAACAGGAGAGCAGAATAAAGGGAAAGTCTCATCTTTCTTTATAAATTGTATTCATAACTGTTCACTGCAAAATATATCATATTATGTAGTGTGGCCTGCCTCAGGCAGCATCTGCAGATTGTAGACAAGGTGCTTGTGGCCCAATTCCTCTTTGTAAAGAAACTTCCTTACTTCAGTTGTTATAACCTTGTGTGAGTTTATGCTGCATCATACAAACATTTCACAAGCGTGTGATCATGGCATGATAACACTATTAACAGCATTTGAACCAAAACGTCACATATATTGAATTAAAGAAGATGTATATCCACAGAACTATCCCCCTTCTTAAAGAACATATCAATTTACCATTCTCTATATTAAACCATTACCCAATATGACAATACAGCTAATTATAGATGTGCCTTAAATAAATCCAGCAAACTAACCACGATTAATTTCATCCTACTCAGTAGGCAGCCATACAACATGTTAAACCACTGAAAACACTTCAATAGAAAATGAACAAGCTAATAATGGCAATGTCGCTGCAGCAATATGATCAGGCCAAAATAAATAAATTATTTGAATTTCATGCCCACTGAATCACTACAAAACACCCAATCTTGCACCATCTTGTGAACTGACCCGTGAAGATCCGGGTTAGAACTGGTCTTCAGCAACCCATGCTTGTCATAAGAGGCAACTAACGGGATCGGGTGATCAGGCTCGCTGACATATGTCATCGTATCCCAATTGTGTAGAAAGATGCTCATGATGTTGATCCCTGGATTGTCTGGTCCAGACTCGATTATTTACAGACCGCTGCCATATAGCTGGAATATTGCTGAGTGCGGCATTAAGCAACAAACCAACCAACCATCTTGTGAATTTCAAGTACCGGTATCTACAGATGAAAAACTCCTAGTGTGTGTACTAGCATTCCATTATTTGCCAAAATCCATCTTATACGTGGAGCTGTTCATAATTAATCTCCACAAATGCCCTGAATAAATTGTTCAAAAGAAATTCAAATATTAAACACAAAAAATGCCCCCAAACTCACACAAAATGAATTTAGACTGAAAGCCTCTCATCAAGAAAGCGACAATACCCAAAAGTTATCATTAATCATAAAGGCAATAACGATTCTTTAGATCATTTTCTCATAACTGCCAGATAACTTTGTCATTCATATCATAACGTTTTTCATTTGTCTCTCTTCTTGAGGCTCTGGAACACCTCAACTGGAAGTTTAGACCAAGAAGAA